GGAGCAGCGCCCTCTGCGGAGAGGGGAGCAGGAGCAAAGGAGGCAGCCCTTGGGGCCCAGAAGGGCAAATGGGCTTGGTGATGTGGGGCGGGGCGGAGGGAGAAGCCAGGACCTGGAGGGCACCGGGGCCCAGCCTCCAGGCATCCTGGAGGTGATGGGCAGGGTGCTGACAGGCCCGAAGGGTCCCCTGGCCCTTGCCCTCCAAGCCCCTCCTCTCCAGCTGCCCAGGAGGTGGGGTCAGTGGAGCTCGGCTAGCAGAGAAGCGTCCCTCCCTCTTGAACTTCGCTGGCTCTGATTCAAGGCCAAACGCACAAAGTGGGTCTGGCCATCTTGCCGTGCCGTGGGAAGGAGCCCGTGTGGCACGTGGTATGGCAGCCCTGCCTCGGCACCCCGTCTTGTCCCCGGCCTTCTGCGGATGCAGCTCCAGCCGCGCCTCTCGGGCTCACAGGCAGCAGGAGGCCCCCTCCATCCAGCAGGGCGCCTGGCCCGTGAGGTGACTATTGGAAATGCTTCACCGTGGGACGTGGGGACCTCCAGGGCTCGGGGGAGGGGAGGGCACAGGGAGGGCCCGCTGTGCCCCGCTGGGTAGCCCTCTAGTTGCTGCGGCCAGCTCTGCTCCTGGGAGACCTGGCCGTGACTCCTGGCTGACGCAGGGAACAGCAGAAGAGTTGCCAGCTCGTGCCCAGCACGGCCATGACTCTCGCTGGCCCCTCACAGGGGGCGGCCACTTACTCGAACARCACCACGGCAAAGGACTGCACCAGCCGGTAGAAGGTCGGTTCCGACACGCACTTGGAGTTGCAGCGCTGTGCGGAGAGGGGCAGGCAGTCAGGGGCTGGCCACCGGGCAGTCCTGCCACACTGTCCAATCGCAGCCGCCCTCCCCGCTGCCAGGACCCTGTAGGGTGYGGCCCACAGAGCCTGGCCCACAGGGTGCAGGGGGCCCGCCTGCCTCTGCCTAGGGGCTGAAAGCAACTCCCTACGGTCACACCCAGGTGGGAAACACCGAGGGACAAGCCCCAGATGGCAGCACTAGCTGGGTCTGGATTTGTGGGTGATTAGGTTCCTTTGCATTTCCTTATTTTTTTTAAAATGAAGAATGCCTTATTTGTGATAAAAATACTTAGAAGAAACGAAAAATCAACCTATTGGAGACTTAATATATTTGGTTCTTTTCTGAGCTTTGTTAATACCTTTATCTTTACCTGGCTTCACCGTCTTGGATAGATTCTCTTTGGCAAAACTGAGCACCATGGGTTATTCAATAGAAAAAGACGCATGCCCAGAGCCTCGCGCTCACCTTTACAAGAACGTTCTCAACCTCGCGGGCGTGAGTTTCTCCCTCTCCCCCAGGGCGGGCGTCACACGCGCCCTGGCCATTCCCACTGCCCCACATGGCCCTTCTCATGACATCCCGGTCCATGTTCCGTGGGGGCGATTCCCTCCCCTCTTCCCCAGAGTGCAGCCCAGTGTGCCCTGCCCTTCCCTGGGCGGGTCCCCAGTCCCCAGCTCACCTGGGCGCTCACGTATCGAGCAAACCACTCGCGGCCTTTCCCATCCTGGCTGCTGCAGTACTCCCCGAACTTGGCCTTCTCCTCCTGATCCAAGTCCTCCCTGAAGAGAAGGCAGAGTGACGCAACGTCAGTGCTCTGGGGCAGAATTCACAGGAGGGAAGAGCAGGGAGCCGTGGGCCGGCCTCCGACCCGGGGCCTCCCCTCCTGCACCCCTGGGGAGGCCTAGCTGAGAGAATCCACCCGGCCTGCGGCCTGCGGGCCGAGATTCAGAGTCCACCAGGTCTCCTGTTCCACAGCCCCTTCTGTCCCCTGCCTCCAGCTTAACCCCAGTGAGGTCTGAGCCCCGTGAGGACAGGGCCCTGAGAGCTCTCGGTTCTTTTGGGGAGCAGCCAATACTCTTCCTCAGATTGAAAGACTCAAAAATGAAGATGAAGGCGGGAGGTGGATGGGTTATGTGACGCGCGTTTATTTAGGGGTTTGTAGAAAACATCTTGGTCTCGTTGACTCCCAGTTACCAGATGAAACAGGGATCCACCAGCTGTCTGCCGTGACCTGGGCAATGCTCATGAAGACGCACGTGACCCGCTGAGGGACGGGGTTCACATGCTGATGAGCTGCTGCAGACATGGACTGGCCTCCCTGGCAAGTGGACCTCGGGGCTGGCTCCCTTTTCTAGGTGTGTGCAGAGGAGGCCGGTTTCAGTGTCGTCAGACAGATTAAGTGGGGAGCCACAGCACGGAGCTCCCAGGAACACAGACGCATTTCTAGATAGTTCGACGTTGGATGATCGCATCACTCTTTCCTTCTCAAAGCRCAGAGGACGCTGAGGCTGGCCTGCATGTGAAGGGTCATCTGGTCCTCCCTGCCACTCAGACGGACCGCTGGAGCCTGGTAGCATGGTAGCAAACCTGGCTCTCGGAGTGTCACCAGGCCCCGGTTCTCACTGCTGCAGCTGAGCCTGGACAAGGGTCCCTCGGGCAGGCACTCTCACACTCCCGTGTGTGGGCGACTCATCCCCAGACCTTGCTGGAAGGCAGCTCTCGCTCAGAGGGGCTGGGGGCCAAGACGGCACCTGTGCCAGCCCAGGCGCTGTGGTGCAGCTGGCCCACAGGCCCCCACCCAGCAGGGTTTGGGGTGCTGCTCTGGATGCTGAAAATCGACCTCCACCGCCCGGAACCGGCAGGACGGGGGCTCCCTGCCTGGCAGAACTGGGGGCCCTCCAGAGACTGGCGCTCCTGCTGCCGTGCCCTCAGCTCGCTCCTCCAACAGAGGCGCCCAGAGGGACCCTGCACAGCAGCTGCTCAGGAGTCGGCCACCCCTGYGCTCCCCAGGAGGCAGAATAAGACRCAGTATTGGACACTTGCCGCCCATGCCTCCCTGTGTGGTCCCAGCAAGCAACGCAGCCGCCTGCCAGCCACGGCCCCGATGAGACCGTCAACAGGAAGGGCCTTGAAACCACTCAGCACCAGGCTCCACGACTCCCCGTGGACACGGTGGACAGGCAGGGTTGGCAGAATGGGAAGTGGTGACCCCACAGAGCCAGCCCCTCCCCAAACCTGACTTGGGAAGCACAGAGAAAACTCTGGAACGAGAGGACCAGCAATTGGCAGAGCACATCGGGATGACAGAGGACCCGTGCAGTTTCCTGCCATCTGACCGGCCACAGGGGTGCCGCCCACACAATAAGAGGCCACTGAAGGTAGCACGGACAGTCCTGTCCTGCCTGAAATGCCCACAGCCGGGTTCACAAGGTGGGAGGTGAGGATGGACGGTCCACTACAGCTCTGCCCGGTGCTGACAGGACTGGATGAGCAGGGGCCAGGGGCTGGACAGGGAGGGGACGGGGCTGGATGGGGCCGGAATGGCTGCCCTTGGGCCCTCCAGCATCTCCCAGGGCCCTGCACGTGGTCGGCTGGCCCTGGCGGCTGGTGGGACTATTTCAGGGTGGGGCCTGGGCTTGGGTGACCCTGAGAGGCTCCCTCATGACCTGACCGCAGCCCCGGGGGACTGAGAGCCGCTGCACCAGCCCCAAGTGGTCCCTGGGAGGAGGCCAAGCCTAGAGCAGAAGGCCCGTCCCCGAGCCTGGTGGCAGGGCCAGGCTGACCGTCGCGGCCTACCTTCCTGAGAAGACCTTCTCCACGTAGCCACGCATGAACTCCCGCAGTGCCAGGGCGTCCTCGTCCTGGGCCGACTCGGCGCTCTGGCCGGAGGAGAAGGACTCGTTGGAGGAGGAGCGGCGGTCCTGGTCCCAGGATGGGTGTGAGGGCGACTCGCCCATGTCGTTCTCGCTGTCCGCGGACTCCGTGGTCTCGCTCTCGGAGGCAGCGTCCCCCAGGGAGCCATCCCCGTCCTGCAGAGTGGAGGGTGCTGCCTCCAGGGGAGGGGCGGTGGGCGGCTCCATCCCAAAGTCAACCAGCGAGCCCACGGGGACCTCGGGGGCCTCCATGGCCGGGGCGGGTTGTTGAGGACAACRCTGGTGGAACCCAAGGTGGCTTCCAGGTGTGTCAGCAGGAGCCTGCCACGCACATGCAGGTGACCTGGGAGCTGCGGGCCACCACGGCAGCCCTCTGAGCAGCTCAGTGGCCTTAGGGCATCTGTGGGGGAAACAGACGGAAACAGACTCAGCACAGGCAGCCGCCCGGGAGATTCGGCCACCCCAGGGCCCACGTTCGCAAGTCCTAACAGTTCRCAGGCGTCTCGTTTGCAGAACCTTGAGGCCCCTGCAGCCAAGGTCCTTGTCACTGTTAAACAGCTGCTACACGACAGGCAGGCGGTGGGCACTCGTTAACACCTTGCAAATAAACACCCGCAATCAGGGCTCCTCCAGCAGCTCAAAAGCTCCTCTGGGCTTTCAGGGAAAGCACCTTCTGGCCCCTTCCCACCCCCGCACAGCAGACCAAGGCCCCGGMCAGCCAAGGAAGCACCCACCTGAGCTGGAGCGGGTCACCAGGGAACAGCCTCGTGCTGGGCAGGCACCTGGCCAAGCCCCAGACTCCCCAGGCCTCCTCCTCATCCCTCCCTCCAGCAGAGCCACAGGCCCTCTGCACGCCCTCAGGCCCTCCGATGGTTCCTGAGCTCCCCTGCTCTGTCCAGCTCCTCTCCCTGGGCTGCGGCTACTAGGACTGGACGCCCCTCTGGTCCCTGTGTTCTGCACCCCCTGCCACTCCCAAGGCCACTCCAGGATTCCACACAGACCACGAGGTTCGGCTTCTGAGAAGCTTCCGTCCACTGTTCAAAATCAACTGCGGACCCCTCTCTACCCCACAGCTCGCCTGCATTTCATTTTGACTCATTTCTACTTCTTCCCAGGGTGGACCCTGACCAAAGAGGTGCTCGTGGTAGTTTGCTGAAGGAATGAACAAGCTCATGGGGGCAGGGAGCGGGTAGCTCGGGTCACACGGGGTGGCTCCAGGGCTAGACTGCCAGCCAGGTCCCCCACTGCTCATCCAGGAGTGCCCGGGCTGAGGGCAGACGGCGAGGAGAGGCAGCCCTCCTGGGGTCAGCACCTCTGCAGCCTCCCCGCATCCCTGGCAGGCCACACCCCCAGGACAGGCTTCCGAGGGCGCTGGGTCAGCATACTGCTGAGGGCAGCTGGCTATCAAGAGGCCCCTCCTGCCTCCTAGGAGCTCGATGCTCATGCACCCACAGTGGATCCCTCCACGCTCCCCGCCCATGGGGTTTTTAAATACCCTGAGTCAAAAAGACAGAATGGCTGGCTCCGGCCACCACAATGGCAATGGCACATGCCAGTGGAGCCCCATCGAGCCCGTCTCTGTCCAAAAAGAGAGAGCTGCAGAGCTCAGTTCAAGAGAGTTTTGTAGGCCAGGACAGGGACAGGGCTCTGTAAGCTCAGCAGGCAGCAGTTAGACCTCAGAGGGTGGCGTGTGGGACTAGGCTGTGGCCAGCCCCTCTCCCCAGGCCAGGAGGCTGCTCTGGGCCGCGTCTCCACCTCTGAAACGGCAAGGCTGGGTCAGACGTCTGGGGCCCTTGTGGAGACTGTGTTCCCTACCCAAAGAACAGCAAATGGAAATGAAATGAAATGTATAAAGCAGAATGCGGAGTAGATTCTCACAGTTCAATGCAATAGTATCAGCCAGGTATGACGCAGGCAGGAAGACGTTTGTTTCAAGTTAAGTGAGCAAGGTTCCCTGCAGTTGGCACTTGTTCAATGCCCACTGGGCGCCAGCCCTGCTCAGCTAGGGATGCCGAAGTGATAGGCKCTTCGTTTCACTAAGTGACACTGACGCACACCCCGGGCGAGCAGGACTGCATGGCACTGGGCGAGCACCTTCTCCTGCTCATTCTCACCCCATCAGCGGGCAGCAAAGACTCGGAGAGAAAGGGGCCCTGCTAAGCGGCCAGGGAGGCGGCAGCRCAAACAGCTACGGAGCCACTTCCAAGCCTGCGGAGTCCTGGGGTCGGTCCTCCCCAGACACCCAAGCTGCCCGGTGCCTCCTTCCCTGGCTCAGGAAGCAGCTGACAAAAGTACAGGAGGCTCAAAGTGAGAGGAMGCCCAGGGGCCAGAGGCTCTTTGTGGGGCAGCTTGCTCTGCAGCCCACCCTGCCCGGGACCCTCAGCAGGGGTYACTCCTCTCAAGGAACAGAGGCCAGCCCTGGGCCGGAGCCTGGAAGGAAGCCTGCGCCCCGTCCAGGGAGGACGAGATGACGGGCACTCTCACACGCTGACCTAAGGGACCCGTCGGGATGGCTGGAGGACACAGAAGTGGCCCAGCAGGGATGACCAGAGCCAGCTGGGGGCTACCTGCAGACATGCAGCCCAGTGGGTCAGAGCCTTGAGAGTTTCCTAAGGCGAGCTGACACCCACCACACGAAGCTCCGATTGTCCAACAGCGGTGACTCGATTTATTTCAAACATGTCAGCCAAAACACCCTCGTCTGTGGGTCCCAGTGCCACCAGCTTGCCTTCTTCTACGTACAGGGGGGCTCGAGAGCTCCTTCTGGTCCCCAGACCCCGAGAAACTAGGTTTCCAGTCACAGGGGACTCTTAAGCCTGCAGACAGTAGACGCGGCCCTCCTGACACACTGCGGGTCTCCTGTGCAGAAGTGGGGCTGACGTAAGGCTGACGTGCACTGTCACCTCAAAGCCTCAGGAGTCCACAACCAGCCCTCGTCCACGGCCCTTTACACACACCTGCGACCAGCCACTACCACGTGAGGAGCTAGGAACAGAGTCCAGGTGACTCCTCGTCAGGCCGTGTGTGTGTGTGTGTGTGTGTGTGTGTGTGTGTGAGAGAGAGAGAGAGAGAGAGTATGTGTGTTTATGAGTGTGTGTGTATGTATGTGTGTATATGTGTGTATATAAGTGAGTGTGTATGAGTATGTGTGTGTGTGTGAGTGTGTGTGTATGTGTGTATGTGAGCATGTGTGTATAAGTGAGTGTGTGTGAGTGTGTATGTGTGTATATAAGTGAGTGTGTATGAGTATGTGTGTGTGTGTTTGTGTGTATGTGAGTATGTGTGTATGTGTGTGTATGTGATTGTGTATGTGAGTATGTGTGTGTATAAGTGAGTATGTGTATGTGAGTGTGTGAGTATGTGTGTATATATGTGAGTGTGTGTGTATATATAAGTGTGTGTGTATGTGAGTATGTGTGTGTGTGAGTGTGAGTATATGTGAGTGTGTGTGTATGTGAGTATGTGTGTGTCTGTGAGTGTGTGTGTGAGTGTGTGTGTGTATAAGTGAGTATGTTATGTGAGTGTGTGAGTATGTGTGTATATATGTGAGTGTGTGTGTATATATAAGTGTGTGTGTGTATATAAGTGTGTGTGTATGTGAGTATGTGTGTGTGAGTGTGAGTATATGTGAGTGTGTGTGTATGTGAGTATGTGTGTGTCTGTGAGTGTGTCTGTGAGTGTGTGTGTGAGTGTGTGTGTGAGTGTGTGTGTGTGAGTGTGCATACTGGGGAAGGTACTGTTAAAAGGAAAAACCACACAGAGCTTCAGGCTCTGGGTGCTGTGGACACGCTCTCAAGGTGACTGTCCGGGCGTGACGTCGCCCTCTGGCCTCTGAATTGGGGGAGGAGGGTCATCCTGAGAAGGAGGACTCCTGGCCTCGCTGCGGGGCAGCTGCTCAGGGAAAAGAGGCCGTGAGAGGCCTTGCTGGCCCTGAGGGGGCCTGCACAGTGCTCAGGGTGTGGGGAGGGACATAAGTGCAGTGCTTGGATGGGGACAGCCAGAGGGGGCAGGGGCCGGAGGGGCAGGGGCCTGAGGGGCAGGGGCCAGAGGGGGCAGGGGCCTGAGGGGCAGGGGCCAGAGGGGCAGGGGCTAGAGGGGCAGGGGCCAGAGGGGGCCAGGGGCCAGAGGAGATCAGGGTCAGAGGGACAGGGGCCAGAGGGGCTGGGGGTCCGAGTCTGAGGAAACGCTCCTGCCTGCCCGCAACCCCCTCCCAGCGGCCCTTTCCCAGCCGCTGTCCGGCCCCGGGAGGAACCGGAACCGCGGTTCTAGAGCTGTGCCCCGGCTCAGCCACCTCCCTGCTGGGTTTGCACAAACTCTGATTTCCTCAGCACCCCAGAGTGACCGGGCTGCGACTTCTCTAGCGGGTGGCCTTGAGCAACAGCGAGGCAGGGCTCCCGGGGAGAATCGGAACCTTGTGCAAGCCAGCCCTTGCCCCAGACCCCAAGAACCCCCCCCCCCGTCTCCACGGACCAGCACAGGGGCTGCCCCTCCTAAGAGGAGAGAGTGCCCAGCTCCCTGGGCAGTGACACGTGGAGGGGCCACCACGCTCACGGGCCAGTGGTGGTCTCTCCCTGAAACTGCCCTGAGTCAAGGTGGGAGGCAGGGCAGGGTCAGGCAGGGCCACGTCCACCCAGCAATGACAGCACATGGAGACAGGCCAGCCCAAACCCACTGTCCTGATCCCGTGTTGGCCAGCCCCGTGGGTCTCCTGTGAGTGCTCTCCAGGACACGTTCCTTGAGGCAAGGTTGCTGGYCACCAGGGTGCACAGTAAGGCTGGTGCCATACCAGTCACCTACCCAAAGTCCCTCTGTGGTGACACACAGGTGTGGGTTTGACACCTGCCTTCAGCTGGCTCTCAGAGTCCAGGTGTGGAGGGCAGGTTCCTGGTGCAGGCAGGAGCTGGGCCCAGAGGGGCCTCACTTCCTCCCCTACCTTGGAGGCATCTGTCCAGAGGAGCCCCACTGCTAGCCAGATGGGAAGCTCAGCTCCCCACCTAGTCCCAGCTCCCCTCAGCTGGGAACTGAGGCCATCTGTGTCCCCCAGGGAGCAGGATCGTCAGGAGCCCAGGGGGGAGCAGGGCGGGAAGTCCTGGAAGAGCTCTGCCGAGCAGCGTTGATGGCATCCTCCCGGCTGGAGGGGCAGCTGAAGCCCTCCGGGCCAGGCAGAGCATGGCAGGCAGGAGAGGGGACAAGGACGTCTAAGACCACTTAATTCTGAACGGCTCTGGTGAGGAATTGGGGGTGGGGGTGGGGGCTCGTGTGAGGAGCCCCTCTGCAGCCTGTGGGTCTATGGCATCTTGGGTGGCATGGTCAGATTAGGGCACCCCACTGTCTTCTGGAGCCAGCTCCTTGGCTCCAGAGCTTCACCATGACGAAAAGCAAATACATCAGCAACATCAC